AGCTCTTGAAAATAATATGCACATAAAGAAAATGTAATAGCATCAGAATTTAAGTGACCATTTTATGATATTTAATGCTTAAAGAATGAGATTAACACAGCTTTTTCAAAACTACCAGTGAAAATGTCAGTACAATACATTGGAACTTTATTGACATTGTACAGTATGATAATGTTCAAGGCTGAAGAGTGACTTGTGAACTTAAAGACTGACTCCATCTGGGGTTTATTAGCAATTTGGAGACATTTGTTAGGAAAGGAAATAATAATTGAAAAGCCACACAGATTAACATGACCCACATCTGTGTATTTGCATTATTAACCCTAATGAACAGATGCCGTATTATCTGTAAAAAGGGCATAACTTGTTATAAATAATCCAGCATATCAGAAGACTTTACATATTTCTAACTATTGAAATTGTACGTGCAACAGACCCTGTAAGGTAGTTGACATAAATGTGAATCAGGTGAATTAAATTTATTAATTGTGAATTTGTCAATGCTTTTTTCTGATAAGACTCATTGTCATTCATCAATAAATGCTGGCCATTGAATAAATGCTGGTCAGCCAAGGACGCCCACGTCCCACAAGTGAATTTTAAAAACTCACTATGGTGTCCCAATTGGCCTAATTTACCAGATCAAAAGTCCTGAATGAGAACCGGAGTAAATGGTGAATATCTGTCTGAAAATATGAGCAGTGACTAATGCACTTTATGGTTTTCTATACTTCAGTTTGTGTAACATTTATACCGCAGGGAATTAGGTTCTTGTTGAAACAAATAGCTTGACATTTATTAACAATGCTATTTACCGGCTATAATATCAGATACTTACCCACAGTTTGATTCTGTGCTAACTGCTGTTACTGTACATTACACACATGGGTGTTTACAGAACACACAACACTGACTCCATCTGAGACAATGTTGCTATTGCCCCAGAGGACCAGAGACTGCTCTCTCATTACAGAGAAATGACTGATGATGAGTATAACCTGAGAGTCACCACGTCTCACGTGAAGGGCGGGGTTGAGAATAGGACCTTCATGATGAATTCAGCCAGTACAGGAATTGTACCTGTGCTGTTATTGTTCACTCCACATTGCAAACCCAACCATCCAGCCTACTGAGCTAGCTGATCTCCTTATTGACTCCAAGACACAAAGAATGATTGCAGGTGAGGCCCATAACCTTTGTACTGGAACATCACATGTCATAATCTCACATAATTATACAATGCATGTCATGATACAAGATCCCATTTCATGGCAGCCAATGTTCCCTGCCCACTCCATAGGACTTCATACCTTCAATGCCAACTATCCTTTTCTAGCCACCTTACAACTCCTCATGTGCACCATGACCAAATGTTCCCTCTACATTTCCCCTCCTCCCCATGATCCTTCAAAACCTCTAAGATAACATCATTGCCAACCCAGTCACCCCCACCCAACAACCTTTACTCTTGCACCTACCATACCAACTCACCCAATGTCTGCTATGAGCAGACCTTAGATCCATACTGAAATTAAATAAATAAAGTTTTAAGTATTTATTACAGACTTCATTTTTGAGAAACTCAATCTCATTCAATTATATAATCTCTTTATAAGAACAAATATGTTTTTATCTGCATAAATCCTTATAAAGACAATTTTGGAATTTATCATCCCACCTCAAAGATCCCATAACCAGTTGGAGCTGTCAATCTTTAGCCTTCCATGGGATGTAAGTGTTGCTGGTAGGCCATCATTTTATGCCTATCCTTAATTGCACTTTTCAAATTTCTGATGAGTTTGACAACTATGAGTTTATGCACTTATTTACGTGTCCCTTTTAACAATCTAAAAGGTACTTTATCTCTCACTTGACCTTGCCAAAGGGTGCTTGACCTTCCACAAAGACGTCCTGGAATGACAATAACAAAAAATGATCATGGCCGATCTTGACCTTTGTCTACACTTTCCTGCCAGCTCCTCAAATCCCTTGGTAGTTGAGACACGAAACATTTATCTCTTCCAACCTTCAATGCATTCAATGATAGCTATATTAAAGGTTATCCCATCTCTTCAAAGGACTCTATGAAGTTCAGACCCGCTCCTACCAGATCTAATCTATGCATCTTGTGCTTTGTGCACCTTGATCACAAAAATCAGAAATGGGTGGAAGCACTGATATGCCTCTATGAAATGTGCATCTGTGAAAAGTGACCCTGCTCCATTCCTGTTCCAATAAAAATGGTAGGTATCATGTTTGGAGGCATGTATTCCAATTTTCAGCCTCCTCTGCCATTTACGCAATAACAGGGAGGCCCGCTTTGTTATGAAAATAGTATTCATGGCTATTATACTTATATTTTAATGAAGGCCACAGATAATGATTTTTATTTCCAGTAAAATAAATCTTGTAACAAATTCAAAGAGTGGCATGTTATAATCGCCAGCAGCAGTTTCTAGTCAGAATGATAAGCCATTTAACATGCCTCTGACCACTGTTTTTACGGTGAGTGTTAATCTACTTTATTTTCATGAAAAGTTACAATAAAATAAATCTGCAGATTTGTATGCAGTACTGTTATTCTTCACGTCCAGTGCTGAGCCATCCAAAAGATCTGTGGCAAATGTAGTATCAATTGCAACATTGGATGGTCAGATAGAAAAAAAAGATTTGCATCACAACCACTGACTGTACCAAAGTATTTTAGACCATCAAAATTACATTTCAACTGTAATCAATATTATAAAGTATCAAATGCAGCTGATGCTTGCAAGCAATAAGTAACCACAAACAACAATGTAATAATAACCTGATAAACTGTTGTGCTGTTGTTTGGGGGATGTATATTAGCCAGGATGTGCTATTTCTGTTTTGTGTTCTAGTGTTTACTGAAAATTATTGCAGCTTCCTTTTCTTTGTTGTGGCTAAACTTGTAGTCAAGCCTGCGTTTGTGTAATTGGCATATGTTTGAAGTGTCGGTAATACTTTGCTGAACTTTTTATACATGTATTAGGCCTCAAATTTTCCCAAGGTTAACAGGCTTACCAGTTTCTTTGAATGTGTTTATGATGAACCTAATTTAATTGTACATATCTAGCCAAAGGCAAAAATAACAGAACAGTTCACAGATTAGTCCTTTGAGACACTTTTTCCACCCAAAGAGATTATTTATGATGAAGATGTGATGAACCATCTGCTTAGTATGTATTCCTTTATAAACATTGAATATTTAAAGGCAAGTAGACACTGTTATTGTCAGTACTCAGCCAAGTACGGTGATCCATTAAGAGAAGAACTGGTTGTATGTTGTCTCCAATTTTAATTATCAAGTGGATTTTATATAACTTTTATTGTTGTAAAACGGAAATATGCGTGTATTCTAGTATTGGATTATCCTTTACTTGATTGTTCTGTCCTACATATATCATAATTCTACAGTACTAGTAGTTTATATAGATTGCATTGTGCAATTTAAATTAAAATATTATTCTGAAATACCTTGAGACAAATAGCTTCCTGGATGCTAACCAGTGACTGTAGTATTAGTTCTGTGTGTGTTTCATTAGCAGTATTGCTTGAAACTGCTTTGTGAATGAATTATGAAGTGAAGTAGTGAATATTTAATAATTAAGAGTGATCAGTAGTAAAATGCCATATAAGGTTGTGAGAGAATGTGCAGAAAAGTTAGCATTTAATATCTGCGTGGGAATTATCTACCAGCTTAATGTAGGAGGGAATGTTTTTACACCTCTCAAGTAACCATTCTATAAACTCCAAAGAATTTGATGATGTAGCTTGCAGGATGAAATCTTAATTCATGCATTCAGCTTGTTCTCATTTGTTCAACTCAAAGTCATTATATGCATCTTTCCATCTGCAAAGTTGAAATTACATGACAGTGCCAAGTTTTTGGTTTCTGATTGTCAGCCTAATTCACACACAAATAGAAGTAACAGACATAGTTAATCATTTGTTGTTTTGTGCATTCTCACTTGGATAAATGCATTCAAGTTCTATCAGTTACTGGAAATGATTGATTGCTAAGTCATGACCTAAACTGATTTAGAGAATAATACAGAATAACATTCCACGTCTATGAAACTGAAATAGCTCTACTGTGCATGATGATCTTGGACAATTCCACTCTCTCTTTTAGCAAAATTAGCATTAATTTGAAAATGAAGTAGTTTGATGATGTCAGATGATTTGTAGAATTACATTTTACTACCTTCAATCCCACCTTAATACCGAGTTCAGGCGCAAAAGTAGGTCAGCACATTAAGGTTAACAATACCTCATGTAGTCCGAATAGAAAATAGTGAAATATCCACATTGTTTCAGGTAAATAATAGCAGGTTGAGTTGCCCTATTTTACAAAGAAGAGGAATTGTGTTTCTCATAGGGTGTCTGAATGGTAGAGATAAATGAAATAGGATTTTGTAACCCTTTCTTTGAATATTGAAGGTTTGTAAAACTGGCAGGGATGGAATTAACCTCAAAAAATGAAGCAAATATAGAAAAAAATTATTAATATGTTTTTGTTAGATCATTAAAAATTGCAAAAAATTTCAGATTCTTTTACAGTAGATACAGTAAGTTGGTCGGACTAGAACTTTTCATGAGTCCACAAATCGATTTCTGACTGAGGTCAAGAATTTCAATTAGTTCAATGAAACTCACTGTTTTCCCATTTTGCTCCTATTTAGTATTTATAAAATGTAGCTTTAAATGCACATTAATCCATAATGAGTGTGGTATTCTTAAATTTCATTTTCATTATGGTGGGTAAAATGAACAACAGATGGACTTAGATAACGGCCAAATAAGAACATAAGAACTAGGAGCAGGAGTAGGCCATCTGGCCCCTCGAGCCTGCCCTGCCATTTAATAAGATCATGGCTGATCTTTTTGAGACTCAGCTCCACTTACCCACCCACTCACCATAACCCTTAATTCCTTTACTGTTCAAAAATTTATCTAGCCTTGCCTTAAAAACATTCAGCGGGGTAGCTTCAACCGCTTCACTGGGCAGGGAGTTCCAGAAATTCACAAATAGATAACAGTATTTCACTTGTAGAATTTTACTCACTTACTGTGCACATTAATTGTGAAGGATGGAAGGAGGAGTATTACACATATGATAAACCTATAAGAGAACAAGTAGGGGATTAAAGGACATCATCTTCATAAAAGAAAAAGGTAAATTTTATTTATCGGGAAGCAACGTGACAATTGAAGGGAAGTAATTTTCCCATAAAAGAAATTAATGCAAAAATTTAGGCTCTGAAATAGTACACACTACTCTATCCAAGATCTTGTTGTATAAATTATTGATGACATATACCTTATAGATCATGAATTATGTATATCACACTTGCAATTCACTTTCAATTTGGGAGATTCTTTCCACCATGTTAGGCAGATTGGGGCTTTTAAATTGCAAAATCATGCTAAAATAAATCAGCAAGTTTATGGTGGCAATTGGAAAAAGAAATCTTATGGTAAATAAATGTAGAATTTAAAAAATCGCCATTCATTCTGAAGCAGAAATGTATAGCTCAGATTTTGTTGGAGTAATTACAACAAGACTGTCAGCATTCACTTTGTTATGCCTTTGAAACTGACAGCAACGTCTCAGCTCACACAGGCACAGTTAAATGCAGAATTTCAGAAGTAGCTTTCACTCATTCTATGCTTATCTACATAGCAGAATGTCGCTGTCGCCAACACCTCTCAGTCAACATCCACCACCCATCCAGACCAACTGTACTGATTAAATTTTGTACTTTCAGTTTCCTAGTTTTTCTGTAAGAAACCTTAAAAAAGCTAAACTTGTTGAGTGACCTCTGAGTTCCTTTTTTAATGGCATCACTCACCCTGAAAGAGTAATATATATGTTGAGTGTTTGATTTTCCAATGCGGTAAATTCAACTATTTTTCTTTTTTTAAAAAAAGTTTGCTATCTTTATTTTAGCTGCCATTTGAATTCAAACATAATTTATTTATTACATGGAAATTTAAATTAATAGTGAAGTATATTGAATGCTTTTAACTTATTGTAAAAACATAACATTGCAGATGCTGGAAATCCAAACTGAAAATGTTAAAAATACTCAATAAGTCAGGCAGCACCTGTGAAGAGAGAAGCAAAGTTAACACTAATATTGTTTCTCTCACTGTAGGTTCAAAAGATTTCTAGTATTTTCTGGTTTTATTTCTTTTAGTTCCTGGTTTGCTGTGTGCGAACACCTCGATGTAATTGTCTGCTTCCTCTGCTTGCTGACATCCCTGCTGCTACATGCCAAGATGTCCCCTAGACTTGATGTCAGGTTTAAGCAGCAATTGGAAAAAGGACTACATCTTTGTGGGCAACTTAGATCAAGATCTGCTCCAAGTACCCTTGCTTCACAGTTTCCCATAATTCTGGGACAGAACATGAATAATTTGAGACATGACATATGGGAAATATGGCATATTTGGGTGTAATATGTGGCTTTGGATGTGTTCCAAAGTGTTTCACTACTGAGATATTTGTCATGTAATGTGTGGGCCTGTTCTAGTCTAATCATTAGAGATTGATCAGTATGGTTAATAATTCTCCCCCTTATTGGGAAATGTGACAAACAGTGTCATAGAAGATGAACGGGGTGTTTTACATCATTTATTGATTCTTTTGAAACATTTACTCCTTCAAGTCTTAGCTATAATGATTCACACATGCTGTAAGATTTTTTTAACAGAATGGAATTTGTAACGTTGAATTTGACCTTGCTATTCATAATCAGACTCATCTTACACCTTTTTCAGCAATTAAAACTTCATTTCTCTCAATAATACCTTTTCTCTTGCAATGTACATGCTCAATTCTCAAGTTTAAGGTCAACTAATCACTATTTTCTGATTTATCTAACCTTCACTCCTGATTATTTTGACTGTGGTGTTTCATCTTTCGTCCTTAGACATAAATGTAACATTTTGCAAATACTTGTCATTGTGACAAATCCAAGGTAAGTGCAGAAAACAGCATATAAGGCCACCTTCAATCTCACAAAGGGCCTTGACTCTGTAAACCGTGAGGGATTATGGGATATCCTCTTCAAATTTGGCCGTCTGTAGAAATTTATCACCATTTCACAACAACATGCAAGCCATGTTCCCCACCAATGGATCGGACCCAATATAAATGCAAACTGAGGCAAGGAGGGTTGCATCCTCAACGCTTTAGAGAAGCTCTTCTCTGCACTCCACCCATCTCCATGAAACTCCCCTCTGGAGTGGACCTAACCTACAGGATGGGTGGAAAACTGTTCAATCTTTACCACTTCCAGGCTTGAACCAAGACCACCCCAACTTCTATCAGGCGATACCTGCACGTATGCTCATTGAGAGGCCGAGCTACAAACCATTGTCGATATATTCACCGAAGCATTCGGGAGGCTAAACCTCAGACTAAACATCCAGAAAACAAAGCTCTGTAAAGCCCAATCCGACCACAGAACACTGCCGTAGCCATCAAAATCCACGGCTAGCCTCTGGACAATATTGATCATTTCCCATACCTCAGGAGCTTCCTCTCAGTACAAGCAGATGTTGACAAACAAATCCAACATTGACTTCACTGCACCAACGCAGCCTTTAAACACCTGGGGAACAGAGTATTCAAAGACTAAGAGCTCAAGCCCAGCATTAAGCTCTGGATTTACAGAGTAGCTGTGGTCCCCACAATGCTGTATGCATCAGAAGCATAGACTATATATAGCAGGCACTTCAAATCCCTGGAGAGCTATCACCAGCACTGCCTTTGCAAAATCCTGCAATCCACTGACGGGTTAGTCATACCAACATGGGTGTCCACTCCCAGGCCAATATCTCCATTATTGGTCATGCACAACTAGCTGTGATGGATGGATAACATTGTCTGCAATGCCAAACACAAAACTCCCTAAAAAAGTGGTCGATTTCAAGTTCTGCAATAGTAAGCGATCACAGGAAGGGCAGAGGAAGCACTGCAAGGACACCCTGAAAGCCTCCCTAAACAAATGCAACATTCCCATTGACATGTGGGAGTCATTTATCCTAGAATGCATAAACTGGAAAAACATCTGCAGAGATGCCAACCACTTTAAGCATCACTAAGTGGAGGTCAAGGGGCAATAGCACACAAAACCTAGAACATTCCACCCACTTATCAAACACAACCTGCCCCACCTGAGGCAGAGTCAAGTAGCTCCAGGATTGGACTATTCAGCCATGACAGAAACTGACCCCCTTCCCCCACCCCCTGAATGGAAGCAATTCATCCTTGACCCTGCGGGACTGCTAAAGAAAGACTATTTTCTGATTTATCTAATCTTCTCTTCTAATTATATCAGCTGCCTGTTTCACCTTCAACCTTAGACATAGATTTAACATTTGGAAATGTTTGTCATAGTGTCAAACTGTAGCTATTGAACTGTTTACAAGTTTAAATTGTAATTAACTTTAACTTTCTGTGGAGTAATTTTCACTAACTTTACTTTTTCACAGTTCTCTAGTACTGAAGTGGGTAGTTCATATGTTCTATTTGCATCCACTGTTGGCTACGTCGCTTTGTTGGAATTTATCACTTTAGTAATTGCAAAATGCTTATTTAGTTTCATGATCTAGATGAATGCTTGTGCTTCCTGCACATTTAAAGCACTAAGATAAATCTAACACTGAGAAAAGACTTGTATAGTGCTTTGCATAACTTCAGAATGACAATTGGTTTACAGTCATTGAGGTAGACTTGAAGTCTAGTCACTATAAAAATGTAATTTTGTGGATGGAGTGGAAGATGGGGAATTGGAGCTCAGGTAGGAATGAAGAATTGGAACTCAGGGATGGAGGGAAATGAATATCAGTTGAATGGGTTTGGGAAATGGATCCTGAAGGTAAAGAGGTCTTGGTTTTCCTTCTTTGCCTGTTCAAGGTTGCTTCTCAATATCTAGCATAAAAACTATAACCAAAGATAAAGAACTCAACTTCTCCAAGGTAAATGCAGTAGCATCTACATACATTATGAGGTCAGAATGTCACATTCAAATCTCAATCATATTTACTTCTGACTTCGTAATAAAATGAGCAAATGAGCAATTCTGATGTACCTTAAAATATTGAAGAGATTTGATTGCCCTGTCTAACCATTGTTTCTTTGAGCTAGTCCATGTGAAAAATAAAAATTACTACTTCAGATTCCTGACATGCCTTACTATTGCACTTGTGGACCGACAGATAAATAAAAAGATTAAGCATCAAACAGGCCAGATTTCCAAATAGTATCAAAAATCAGTAATTGAATTCCAATCAATGACCCAAACACTGCTGACGTGGCTTTAAGGGAATGAAAAGCTCACTTGCTAAACTGCAATATGAGGATCATGTGAAGATTTCTACAATTACCCTGTTGTGGCTGTTACAGTAAGAATTGCCTGAATTGTGACTCCATCAAAACCATTCAAGCTCTAAGATTTTGGAGTAGATTTGTAGCTTGGGTTGTGGGTGTTGAGGTTGGTTGGCTCACCGAGCTGGTTTGTTGTTCCGCAGATGGATTGCCTCACTTCCAAGTTTCCTCCATAGTGGAATGTATATGGGGTCGAGTTCAATGTGTTTATTAATAGCATG